ATCTATCTATCTATCTATCTATCTATCTATCATCTATCAATATGTTTCCTTATTTGTCCATATAGATTCTAGGATCCAAAAGTGATGAATATGACTTATTTCACTTAATATAAGGATAACCAGTTGTATCCCTTTTCCAGTAACTGACACAATGTCATTCTTCTTTATAGCTGAATAGATTGGACTGTGTAGGTATACAACAGAACACAATGAACACCATCCATAACTGGCTATTGTGAACAGTGCTGTAATGCATGGAGTTTCATACATCTCTTTGGTATTTTGAATCTGAATATTTCAGGTATATACTCAAGGATAGTATACCTGGGCCATAGGATGATTATATGTTTGGATTTTGAGGAAATACAATAATGATTCCAGAGTGGATAGACCAATTTACATACCAAAAACAGAATATAAGATTAGCCTGCTTCAAGCATTGTCATCAGCACTTGTTACTGTGTATTTTCTTTATTTTTATAATTATTTTTCTTATTTTCTTAATGTTATTCAAATATATTATTAATTCATTGAAAATTTCATACAATGTATTTTGATCATATCCATCTCTCTCTGTCATCTTCTCCCAGACCCACTCCCACCTCCCTACCCACCCAACGTCATAACTTTTTCTTGAAGCCCATCGAATCCAATTTGTGCTGCCATATGCTCTTCAGTGTTGGGCCATTCACTGGAGTGAATACCAGGGATCACACCATTGAAGAAAACCCACTTCACACTCCCAGCAGTTACCAACTGCCAATAGCCCCTCAGCTAGTGATGGGAGTTCATGGAATCACCCTCCTCTATCCTGGGATTTCCTCTGTCTTGAGCTTGCATTGGTTTGTGAGTTCTCATGTGCAACTACCCTTTTAAGTCCAGAAAATGGATTCACTGTAGTCCTTCACTGTCTCTGGCTCTTATAATACTTCTGCTCTCTCTTCTGTGGAGACACTTGAGTCGTTGGAAGGTATGATGCAATATAGATGTCCCATTTGTGGCTGAGCACTCATCTGCAGATGGAGATCCAGTTTTCCAGCAATATTTACTGAAGAGGCTTTTCTCCAATGCACATTTTTTTGCATCTTCCTCAAAGCTATCTGGCTATAGCTGTGTGGGTTCACTTCTTAGTCTCCTCAATTGTTCTGCTGGTAACATCTTACCATTTTGTTGTGACAGTTCTGTGAAATGACTTAAAATCAAGTTTGTGATAGCTACAGCACACTTTTGTGGATTTTGTTTTTGTTTTAACAGGGTCTTCCTAGTCTCAACCCACCTGGAAGTCACTATGTGGACCAGACTGGCCTAGATCTCAGAGATATTTGCCTGTCTCCGCCTCATGAGGGCTTGGATTAAAGGTGAATGCTATCATGCTGGACAAGCATTGCTATTTTTGAACAAAAAAAATAGCAAAAGACCCCTCCAGGGTCTTTTGTGCTTCTATTTGAATAATAAGATTCATTTTTCTATTTCTGTGAAGAATACAGTTGAAATTTGGGTGGTATTGAATTATATCTGCGCATCACTGATAATACAGACATTTCCACTATATTAATTTTGCTGGTCTCTGTGTGTTAAATGTTCATTTTCTGCTGTCTTCTATTTTTTTCTTGTATTTTAATTATTTTAGAGTTCTTGATATAAGTCTTTCACTTAGTTTGGTTAGTTCTAGATGTTTGGGTTTTTTTTTTTTTTACTATTTTATTCATTATTTTTATTTTATGTGTGTTTTGCCTGCATGTATGTAAATATACCGCATGTGTGCAATGCCCACAGAGGTCAGAAAAGGGTGTCAGATTTCCTGGAACTGGAGTTATGGATGGATGTTACCTGCTGAGTGGATGCCGGGAATCAAACCTGGGTCATCTGGAAGAGCAGCTAGTGTTCTTAGCCACTGAGCCATCTCTCCAATCCCAGGAAGTTTGCTTTCCAACCTGTTGTGAGTGATATTGTTCCAAGGACAATTTTTTCTCAGTATATTATTTGTAAGTCGGCAAACATCTCATTTTAAATATTTAAATGCATCTACCGCTACCGTTATGAACGTGCTTATCAGTTCTAAAAGGTTTGGGTGGAATCCTTGAGGTCTCTTCTGTACAGGACCATATGCTTGAAAATAAGGTTAAGTTTTCCTCCTCCTTTCCCATTTGTATACCTTTTATTTTGCTTGTTGTTTCTTACTGTAGCCAGGACTTCAAGGCCTGTAAGAAACAAGAGTGGAGAAAGTGCACAGACTTAGCGTTTTCTTCATTTTTGCAGAAATGGCCCCTCGTTTAAGATAATATTGGCTACAAGCTTTTCAGATGTAACATTTATTTACTAGTAAGAAACGTTTGAACTATTCCTAGCTTCTTCAGGGCATAAAAACCCAGATTTGTCAAGAGCATTTTCTACCATATCATTTCTGACTTTCAGACTATTAATGTGAAATATTACATTTTTCCTATATTTGTATATTGAAACATCCTTTCATGCCTGGGAGAAAGTCCTGGTTGTGGTGAATAATCATTTTAATGTGTTGTTGAATTGGTTTTGAAAGTATTTTATTGACTTTCCTTTATGCAGGCCTACATGCTTGTACCAGACTACAAGGCTGTGAGGCCATTTTCAGCATGTTCTCCCTCCTTACAACCACGAAGACCAGTACTGAGATCCAATGGGAAAGGGAACCTAAGGGTTTTTCTGACATTTTTTACAGCTATGTTCATCAGGAGAGACAGAGCTAAAATTTGTGAGTGTGTGGTGTGTGAATGTGTGTGTGTGTGTGTGTGTGTGTGTGTCTGAATTTTGTATCAAGATAATACTAGCTTCAAAAACTGAGCACTGCCTGCTCTTGCAGAAGACCAGGGTTCGATTCCCAGCCACCCACATGGCAGCTACGAAGCGTCCTTAACCCCAGTTCCAGGGGAATCCGAAGCCCTCTTCCGAGTCCGCGGCATTGCACGACGCGGGTGTACTCACACACATTCAGGCAATACACTCGTACACATAAAATTTTTTTTAAATTAAAAAAAAAATCAACTTTTTACCAGTCCTTCTCATTTTGGTTCATGAAATAGTTTGAGGGTCATAAATTTTAAGGTTTTTTTTAAAGTCTGAGCGATTTTCAACAGTGAATACCACCTGAGCTTAGGTTTTTTTTAAGTTGAGAGGTCTTTCCCATTGTTTTTTTAGAGCTGTTTATATTCTTTAGTTTGGCTTAAACTTGGCATATCACATGCATCTAGAAATTAATTCAGTTATTTTACATTTTACAATTTAGTGCAATATAAGTTCTTAAGGTATACCTTAATGATTTTCTTAAATACATTGGCATCTACTAATTCAGTTATTTTACATTTTACAATTTAGTGCAATATAAGTTCTTAAGGTATACCTTAATGATTTTATTAAATACATTGGCATCTACAATAGCTTTTTTTTTCCTCTGGGTTCTTTCTCCTTTTCTTGACATGTGTTTCTGATGGTT